ATACTGCCCAAATACATTTCTCTTCATATATTATTTAAAAGAAGGTAATAATTATAACTGCATCTTAATGTCTTCAGTTGTTGAGCACATAGATTTAAAGACATTTTGAAAACTTAACATCAATGAGAAACTACTATTCTCTATTATTACTTGTCATTAATGACATGAAGCTTAATCGCAAGTTTCAACATTGATATAATGATGCATATTCACACACAACAAGTTCACCAAGTTTGTTTAATATTTGTGAGAAAAATTCATAGTGACATGAGCTTACCAATGTATTCGCAAATGAAGACCACAAAGAAAGGAGTGACGAGGTCATTTATTCCCTGAACATATCCACTGGCAGGGTGACGAATTGCCCATATAAACAAGATCCTTTCAAAAATCTGGAAACGGAACAGGAGGTAAAGCAAAAAGTAAGCACATGGAAAACTTTAAAACACAAGCATCCTTTTGCTTAAAATATATACTATCAATATTTTTCACTCTCCCTAATATTAAATATAAACAAATATCAATTGCTGCTTAATGTTTTTTCTAAATTCCAATTATCTTGACTATCTTCTGCTCACAAGCCATGTGCAGCATTTCCCCAGCCCCTGGCGGTTCAGCCCTCCCCCAGCTGGCTCTCACAACAGATGCTCTCTGCTCCTCCAGGCTCCTTGGGCCATGGCGGCACACAGCTGCCTGGGGCTCAGTGAGCAGAGAAGCAGCATCTGGCCATTGGTGAAGACTTCCTCAGTGATGGAGGGATCGGTGGGTGGGTGGGCAAACAGATGGACAGATGGACAAAACAGGTGGATGAGTAGATGGACAGATGCTCTGAATTTCCCTCATAAGGTAAGTAGATATCTTTAAACCCCTGAAAAGTTATCACCATCCCTAAAGACATACCTAAGCATCTTCCTATCGCGTACCAATTCCATGGGGTTTTCAATTACCTAAGCCACGCACACAGGAGTTATCCCAGTTCCCTCTCTTTCCTCTCAATTCTTACATTCAGTTTATGCTTCCTCCATCACTTATCTCCACCCACCTTCCTCTACCTTCATTCACAAAAGGGATTTACCAAGGTTTAACAAAAGCCTATCACACCATACCACATACACACATGTATGTACACACATACATGCACACGCATGGCTAACAGAACCAGTGCAGCACTCTGGACTCCCCTCAGTCTAATCCTTGCCCCTGGGCCCTCCCTCAGCCAGCACCCATATTCTAGCCACACTGAGCTACAGCACTCTTCTCTGAGCCATCCAGCTGCCTGGAAAGTCTATCCCTCCTTTACTCTGAGCTTCCTTCACTCTGAGTATTCAAGACTCACTTCAAGCATGACATCCTTCATGAAGACTTTTCTGCTTTCTGCTTCCTCCCCCATCCTCTTTTTGGAAGAGCCACCTACTTCCTACTTTGTGACACTCTGGTCCCCCTTCTCTCCACTGAGTCACTGGCTACCAGCTCCAGCCTGACCTTCAGGCTGTGTGCCAGTCAAAGCCAAGTCTGACCCTGTGTCCAGGCCTCACACAAAGCAAGGCACAACAACTAAGACTTCAGTAATGAACGCTCCAACAAATGGATGAATTATATCACCTCCAAACAACCCAACCTTGCAGAGTCAACTATATTTGTACCCTGGGGAGTCCATCCCTTCCTACATTGCCTACAACCCTAAATATTATCAGGCTTGGTAGTCTAGAGCTCTAAAATCACCAGTAACCCAAATGTAAAAAGAGAAACCTGGGATCTAGACAGGAGAAGCCTCAATCCAGGGCACACAGTCTACAATGGCAAAATCAGGCCTAGAACCCAGGCCCTCCCCAATTGCCACACTAGTACCCTATCCACTGTGGTTGAGTAACAAAGTAACCGCTCCCCATAACACAGCAGGCACCTGATCAATATTGGTTAAATGAGTAACACATTCACGCTTACATATTAATACACAGTTTTCATTTTAAATCAACAGATTACTAGAGAAAATTGAATGTTTAAACAAGATCAAAAATCACACAACAATGCAGCACCATTTAAGAATTTTGCATGTAAAAACACTTAACCAATGAAAGGACCAACATGGAGTTGATAAACCCAAAGAGCAGTCATTTTAACATTGCCTAGTTCTGTCATATTCTCTTAACATGACCTAGTTTGCCCTCTAATCAAGGCCAGAACCAGTTTCTCAGAGGTAACTATTGATAATTGTTTTACAACCTCCTCCCCAGCTTGTTTTGTAATCCAAGTTAACCTAATCAGCCCTTCTTGAGCTTCATGACACAGACCCCATCAACATGGCAGCTGTCATGTGACTCATCCACCCATCTGCCTGCTGTCCATCACCTGACATCAGTACCTGTACTCATCTGCCCTTCATGATGATGTAAAAAAGACCACCACTCAATCACCTTAATGACCTGCCTCCACCAAAGGGAAGGTTTAAAGCATTCAGCCTCAAGCAGCCATTTGCATTATTTTGTTAAGCACTGGTCAGGTCATGTGTTCTTTGAGCTATGAAAGTCATATTTTCCTAGCTTTGGCCCTCTCCCCTACCTTGGAGAGGTGAATCAATCTCTCTCTCTTTCTCTCCACCCTGCCCCCAACACCTCTGTCTTTGTCTCTCTGTCTCTTATTTACTTTGTATATAAACTGAATTTTCCAATCTAACTTCTGTGCAATTCTTTGTATCTTTTGCATGGCACCAGATCAGAGACCAACTCCCCCCTCCTCCCCCCAACTCAGGCCTAACCTAACAGCTAATGATATAGATACTATTTAATAAAGCTGCAAGCAGTGGCCAGGAGACGCATGCTTTTGTCAGTCCCTCAGGTGGCCCCAAAGACAGACAGGAAAGCAGGATTGGGCAGGAGGACCCGCAGCCAATGGCACCTCAGCCCCAAGTCACAAAAACAGCAGCTCAACCTGACCAGTCACAGGGACACAATGGAAGCCCAGGCAACAGAACTCAACTGTAAGACAGGGCAGTGACAGGGAAGCAAGGTAGGTTAGGAACATTAAGGCAGGTGCAGAGCATCTGTGAAAATCAACAGCCCCTAGCACCTCTTACCAGCAAGACTCTTAGGGACCTTTGAGCCCAGAAAGGGTTAGGAACAGGAAAAGGATGGGACAGGGGTTGTACAAGGACAAGAAGAACAGTGACGGGGAGGGAAAAAAAACCAGCAGAGATTCAATGACTCCATGAAAGTTGACCACACAGAGTCATGAAGAGATAGGGAAATTCTGCCAAGTTCCTCCTGGCTAAGAAGGTCCAAAACACCCTGAAGTCCTGCTGGCATCACACCATGTCCAATGTCTATTGCAGAGGGCTGCAGTGTCCCAGTACCATTCTTGTTCACACAGTGTCCTACACCCTGGGAAATAAGTGATGCAGTGTCCCAGAGGGCCCGCCCCCAGGATGGGGGGCAGCCAAGGAAATGCTCCCCAGAGCAGGGAGCTAGTCATATAGCAGGGATCAGAGAATGTCTGTGTCTGTGTGTGTGTGGTATAGTATGTGTGGTATATTGTGTGTGTGTGTGGTGTGTGTGTGTGTGTGTGTGTGTGTGTGTGTGTGTGTGGTGGATAATGTGTGTGGGGAGTGGATAATGTATGTAGTCTGTGTATGGTGTGTAGTATGTGGTTATGTATATGTTATGATGTGTAGTGTGTATTATACAATTTGTGTGGTGTGTATATGGTGTGTGTGCAGTATGGTGTGTGTGAGGTGGTGTATAGTATATGGTATGTAGTGTGGGGTTGTATAGGGGAAAATTCAGAGCTTAAAGCATAGAGATGGAAGTAGTAATTTGAGCAGTGGCACACCCCCACTACTTAAGCCCTGTACTTCTGGAGGCTTCACACACACACACACAAACTCACATCCATACCTACTCCCAAGCATGAATGCAGTTCTTCCCTCAGCAGCCCAAGCAAAGAAGACACCCAATCTGACAGAGAACACTTACCCAGTTTCCCTCAGGGAGGAGAACCAAAGGAAATGTGAGTTCTCTGCAGTTGTTCTGCAGGCAACTGGCACAGACTGCTCACTGGGGACTCCAGACCTCCCAAAAGCCCATGCAAGGTCTGCGAAAGTTGTAGGGGGAGAGATCTGCCATGGGTGCCTGACTCGGTTCCACAGTACAAGAAGCCCCAATAGCCCAGCTTCTGTTAAGCTGTACCTGAGATGGATTGAGTTCTACCTGAATGCTACCTCAGGAGAAATGCACAAAGCACTACAGGGCGAGTCAGCAGCACTGAACAGGTGCTTGGAGGAGGTGGTTAAGCCCTCACAGTCAGTAAACAAACAGTGCTCAAGTACTCCCAAAGCACCCTCACAAGCCAGTCAACAATCCAACATTTACGTTCTTAGGCCCTCTCCACACCAAGGGGAAGGGCCTCTGCTGACCCAGTCTTCTGGAAGCACAGTGCCAGCCTGGACATTAATGCATTTGAAAAGAGTACCCTCGGACTACTTTAGGGGAAAATGTAGAATTCAGATTTCTTATTAACTAAGAAAAGCTATCAGTCAGTCCAAATTATTTAGATTTAATTCCACTTGATCTCTCTTGATAACCTGAACATCATATTTTTAGGACTTTAATCCCACTAACATGTAAATAAAGGGACAGGCAGGTCAAGCATTAAATAAAAATGACTTTCAACAAGGCAGGCAAGATGAAATAGTGAAAAGAGGCTGTCCTGTGGAAGTGAGTGGCACTGGATACAAATCCTGGTTCTGTCACTAAGGCAGTGCACACTTCCAGGCTCAGCCTCTCGGAGAGACTTGGGGAGACCTGTGGACCCCACAAGCTATCACCACTACAGCAACCCCCAAAGAGCACAATCTTCAAACACTTGTCCCATGTCTACGGTCCCTAGCCTGGCCACCATCATCTCATGCCTTGTCAGCTGTGAGTGTCTCCCAGCTGGTCTTCCTATAATCACTTCAGTACTCCATATCCCACCAAGTAGCAGAGGGGGCTGTCAAAAATGCAGAACACAACAAGTCATACCATCTGACCCCTGCATCTGCCCAAGATCTGTAGACACTCCTGACCACGACTGCAGGTGTCTGCCCTGTGGCTTTCTATTCTCTGACCTCATCACCTGCACTGGGCTCTCCTTCCTTAGGCCAGCAACTCTTCTGCTCCCACAGGGACTTTGCACTGTTGCTCTTTCTGCCCAGAGCTCCCTTTTCCCAAACTTCCCATGGTTCCCATGATTTCTGGCATAAGATCTTAGCTCAATGCCATCTCCTTAAAGACAACTGCCTTTACCACCCTATCCAAAACAGCACCTCCTTTACCATGCCAACCTGGTTCTAGCCTGTGGCTCTCACTAATTTCACCCCAAGGAAGGATCTCCTATGTCTCAGTCACCAACATGCCCTCAGCCCTGCAGCCTGGCACAGAGGAGGACTTAGGAACACTGATAATGGCTGAATGGAGGTGCAGATGATCCAGCCACTTCCCTCTGCCTCGTATTCGCAGCCCTCACTTTCCCTGTTCCCCAACTTCTGTGCCATTGGTGGGTATCTGAGCCCACTCTGGTGCTCTGTCTAGACACACGATGCCATGGGTACCTAGTAGATGTGTGACCAGCTTTTCCTATATGGTTTTCTCCATCAAGTGATGCTCCAACCTTGCTCTTCAGATGCCAACCAATCAGGACCTCAGGATCCCTACTTGTCTGAGAAGAAAAATGAACCCAGGGGAAGGGACAGAAGTAACTCTGTTGAAGAGGGAAGGAAAGACGGGAGCACTAGTGAAGAAAGACCTCAGAGAGGTGACAGGTAAACAAGGTGGTGAAGACTGATGAGGAGTGTTTCCTGGGGGAGAAAAAGAGGAGCCTTCTGCACAGAGGAGAGCCCAAGCACATGTACACATGTACATACACACACACACACACAGGAACACAAACATACAAACACCGAGATGAGCAAACAGAGAGAGAGATAAACACACACTGAGGCAAGAGCACATACACAAAGAACAGCACACACACAGAACAGCACACATGGAGAGAGAAGAGCATACACAGACAAAAGCACATACACACAGAACAGCACACATAGGGAAGAGCACACATGGAGAGCATACATAGACAAGAGCACACACACACACATATAGAACAGCACACACACAA